CAAACATATATCTGGTGATGTTACAAAATGAAACAAGTCCTTAAGTTACATATTGCAAAAGAGAGCAATGTGTTTATCCCCTTACCAAAATTTTTAGTTTAGCGTATCACAGTTTAATTTTACATTATCCACAGCTAAAAAGAACTAAACCAAATTTAGTCCAAGCTGCTATATGTTAAAAACAGCAACAACAACAACAGATGTTTCTGTAATTAAACTCACTTCATACCACTTCATATGGCTTGGCCATGCACTTTCACCATCACATCTGGTATATATTAGAGGCATATATATATATAAAATACATAGCTGCTTTCCTCTTTAAGAGTTTTATTTATGATTGTAAAAGAGTACTTGTAGGTTATTTTTTCTTTAATCATCATGGCTAATTAATGTTTTACTATAAAGAGTGTTTTTACACAGTGGTTGTCCAAGTGGACTCCAGAGATCCCCAGGGGTCCTTGAGGGGGTTGCAGCGGTACTCCAGCAAAAAGAGGGAAAACATTTTTTTTCACTATAATGTATTACTATTTTGGTCATGGGTTTCATACACTTCGCATTTTGCCAAGCCAGGGACACCAGGGATTTCGACCAAATCGCAGAACACACAGGCAGAGCAGATTCAGTCACAATGTTTATTGAGAAAAAACAAAAATGAACAGGGTTACACAGTGAAGAGGAAGGCAAGTGTTCAAAATAAGAAAGCAGTCCAAACATAAAGCAAATAATATCCAAATGGCACAAGCTACAATCCAAAGTCCAACAATCCACAAAGGCTTCCACAAACACTGGTAGGAAACAACGAAGACAAGCAGGGACACTCGACAAACTCATGAAGATGAATCAACACTAAACTATGGAAAGACACAGACTTAAAGCTCCAGTGTGTAATATTTAAGAGGATCTATTGACAGAAATGCAATATAATATACATAAGTATGTTTTCAGTGGTGTGTAAAGACCTCACATAATGGACTGTTATGTTTTTATTACCTTAGAATGAGCCATTTCGATCTACATACACCAGCATTACACATCAGCATGTTGCAATGCCATGTTTCTCCAGTAGCCCAAAACGGACAGATAGAAAAATCAAGGTACAGGAATGGACCTAAAAGGGTACAAATCTCTAAAAGAACATTTCTTCACCCTTAGTGTCTCAAATGTATCTTTCACAATTATTCATTTAGCTGACACTCTCATCCAAAGTGCTATATATATCAGAGGTTGCACACCTCTGGAGCAACTAGTGTCTTGTTCAGGGATACATCAGTGTTGTAAAACAACTAGATTGCAAAGTCATGTAAAAGACAAACAGCTATTGGCAATAAAACTGTACAGCATAGAAGCTCAGATCAGCCAGCTAAACTTCACATTTTACTCCCCTGGTGGAAAACCCTTATTTATTTTTACTGCTAACAGCGTTAGATAAGATAAAATTGTGAGTCTATCAAGAGACCAATAATGCTTACTTTCAGAATTTGCATAAATAAAGTGCAACTTGTTTGTATTGCTTCACGACTATGTGTAATTTGATCATTCACAGGTTAAATGCAAACGTTGCATCATTTTACCACAAGCTCAAATTGCTGTAATGTGACTACACCTTAAAGCAGCAGTTTAGAAAAAGACGACTTTAGCTCAGTAACCTTTTCAATAAATGTATGTAAAGAATAAAATTAGACTTAACAATCACAGTCAAGTAAAGTCATGTCAATTTAATTTATATAGCCCTACTGTATATCATGAATTAATAATTAGCATCAGGGGGCTTCATGATCTTTACAACATACGACAACCTCTATCCTTAGACCCTCAATTTGGATAAGAAAAAACTCCAATGCAAACCTGCAGGCAGATTCACACACACACAGACACACACACACAGACACACACACACACACACACACACACACACACACACACACACACACACACACACACACACACACACACACACACACACACAGACACACACACACACACACACACACACACACACACACACACACACACACACACACACACACACACACACACAGACATGTTTTTCAAATATAAGGTGTATTGATTTTTCCCCCTGACACCCTGGAAATAGTGCCAACTAATTTGTGCTGATTAATGTTCATGTCCTCCTCTGATTGCTGCACAGATGAATCAAAGGCCACTAATCAGAGGAGAAGTTTAATAGAAAATAATGACCACCAAATAAGAAACAGAGTAGGTGTGAGTCTGAATGACTCATGCGCTGTTATGCATACAATTATGGCTGTTGCGCTTACCTCAGTGGATCACAGCATGCGGCTAGATAAGGATGTTGAAAGACTGCTCAGATTTCAGGGCCATGCATGTCGTTAAAGTGTGGTCTTTCTGTGTCAGTGTGTAAGGAGTGCCTACATAGATATTTACATGCAGTAAACAGCATATGCAGTATACAGTACATAGAATAATTACAGTATAATTGAAAATATGCTGAGAAAAAGCAACACTTCCGTTTACAGGCTGGTTTCAGGTTGCATAATAAGTAAAATAATTATTTGGAAAACTAAGTTTTGTCTTCAATCTTGAAGAAAATGATCAATCAAGTATGACAAAAGGTGAGGAAATACCTTACTACCACAATCAGCATCCAAAGCATTAGAAAACTAATGCTCACTTCCAGCTACTTTTTCAAGATTTGAGACTCAGCCAACTTTAACAAAATTACATTTGTAAGTGTAACACATTTTAGCACTGTGCTCTAATGTTTAAAAACCTACACTGATTAGCCTGATGGGTTGCCATAATTTAAGTTTTTTTGTTTTTTTTTTACTTAACACCCACAAGAAATTTTGCTTGAACCTGAGGGTTGATGCATCCTGTCAGTCAGTGATTGTCCCAAAGGGCATCTGCAGTAATTTCTGATTGCTGATAACTTAAGTTGATCATTTATTCAGGTTTCTTTTTTGCATTAAATTAGCCATATAAATTCATTGTAATTACATGTTAATTATAAATAGGTACCCATTATTTCATTAGCCTTGATCCTTATTTGATTTGCCTTAAAACATTACGGGCAACAATTTACATTAAGTCCACTATTTAGGTTTAAAGATGGGGTAGGCAATTTTTTAAGGCATTTTTTCTTTTTACATCCTGGCTATCAATAAATCAAATGCTCTGACTGAATTATCTGTGGCTGTCTCAGGCCTGTAATAACCATGGCCAATCATGTCAATCTGATTGGCAGGCCTGTCTACTTACTGACCTACCTGTGCACTCTCTACCCGTGCAGTCATTACTGCACATTTGTTTGATTTATGAGTTTGTGAGTGAATGACATTTTGTGTGTGTTATTAACCATTTATTACATTTGTATACACTGTTTATAAGTGCTCAATAGGGGGTGTAAAAACAAAGTGTTACCAAGAAAACTTGCTTTACATTAACTACCAAAGTTTATTCAGTTTAAACTAAGGATAGAACCAGAAGTTTAATTTCTCTGCTGATGTAGTCATTGTCAACCACTGTTCCTACCAGTTTTGATTTAGTCTCTTCACATAACAGAGTGAGAGGAGCTTTTGATTTACTTACAGCACCTCTTTTCCATAGACCCCACTTCCTGTTGTTAGGTCTTCTCCCTTCTGTGTGTACATAGGCTAAATTAGTTACAACAGTGCTTTTGAATGATGAATAAAATAGTGACAGTCGCAGGACAGACATAACAGTTAACATACAGTATATAACAAAACATAAAAATTTTTGTAGTACATATAATGTACTGTATGCAAAATAAGTAAAAAGGTTTTTACTTCTCTAACTGTAGCTGCAACCCACTGCACTCTATGGACTATATCTATGGACTACACAGTCTAGTTGCATTTAGCATTTATCACATAAAGTGAAGTACATCCACAAGTTAATGCATTTTTGACCCTGTAAATGTGTAAATTAAAATCAAAGCAGACCCTGCTGTCTGCAAATTACTGCCGTGTCTATTACACTATTAAATAGACTTAAACGTGGTCTGTCTTTCTGACAGACTGACATGAGAAGAAATGGAACATTTTCACACTTCAGTTGCTCCATTTGACCTGAGATCACTCACACAGATTGGTGTGCCAGGTAGCACAATAGCTGTAGGATTACAAGTGAGCTTTGGGCAACGTCCTTGTAAGTTTCCAATTGGTTAAAAAAGAAAAGAGTGAATTGACGTCATACTTTCTAGCTTTCCTCCCCTGCCCACCACATCGCTGAGGAAGAAAAGAAGCTGAATAAGAAAAAAGAAAGTTAACACCTTGCAACAAATCCAACTCTATATGCTACAGCTGCCTGTTGATTAAAGGATTTTCTTTTTCCCTTTTCCCACACATTCTCCCAAGTCTGGAAATATCTCGCTGTCTCTCTCCTCCCTCTCTGTCTCTACCTCTATCTCATCAATCTCTCTGTCCTTGTTTTTTCTCTCTTTCACTGGTGTTTTTCTCTGTTCCTTCTCACCTCATTTCATCTTTCAATAGCTGTTCCATTTGCCTGTCATTGTTTATGTCTTGCATTCAGTTTACATTTATCTGTTGTCAATGCCCTACACCAGGGGTGTCAAAGTCAATTTATTCCGGGGCCACATCAGCGTTATGGTTGCCCTCAAAGGGCCAGTTGTAAATATAAGACTATATACATATATCTATGTTACGTTCCCCGAAAATGTCACGGGGATGAGGGGACTAACAATATTAAATTTAAACCCAGAGGAAAACAGCTGTATGACCAGAAAATAATTAGATTTATTTACAATAAAAATAAAACAACTGTTCAACAGAAATCTGCGTCATGGAAACATAAGAGACCATCCACCCATAAAAGAAATAACAGACAAGGTTAAATGTAAATACAAACTAGATCCGCAAATCAAAATTTACCACCCTTCCTTTTAAGAAAGAAGTACCTACCAGCCACGATAAAACAACAATCTCTAGTCTGCCCTTTCGGCCTCTTCATTTAGTATGACTTCTTCTACCAGTCAGTGCCTAAGTTTTTGTTGTAAGAATTATGGTTAAAAAGTGAGATTTGTCAAGAATAACAAATATAACACCCAAATGATGAAATAGTATGGTTAATAAATAATTGCACAACTTTACACAAACACGTACAGAATATTTCAGTTAAATTTGGATGATGTAATGAAGCACAAAATATTTCTGCTCTGTCCAAAAGTGTAATTTGTTCATTGTCATGCATTTCTTTTTCCACGAGGGGGGTGGAAGGTCGGTGTTCGGACGATTTTTGCTACATTGTCGGAAAAATGCTACCGTAGCGCAAATCGTTATCAGAGTTTATCGATTTGCGCTGTCCCTAACCCCGATCCCCTTACCCTAACCACAACTTACACACAATGAGCTAGCTAATTTGCGCGAAGCTGGTCTAATCACATACAATTTGTGAATGACAAGTTATGCAAATCACATATGGCGAATGGTCAGTCAACTTGCAGCAGAGTATCCATCATGTACCGCACATCCGGATCGCCTGCTCTCCATAGAAATTAATGGGATCCATTGACTTGACATCTGTCAACAGATCCAGTTTATCTGCACCTTAACGCTGCCATAACACAAACTAAACTGACAGTTCCTGCCTTTAAGCTCCAGGTCCTGATTTGGTGATTGAGGACAGCTGCCAAAGAAATCAGGGAAAAAATAATGGCAATAATGGCATTCAAATGTAGTACAACTAAAAATATACAATTTATTTAAAAAATGAAATATACAAAGTATATATAAGTAATAAAGTCAAAAAAACAATACAGGTTTTTTAAGTTTGTACAAGCAGTCTTTAAAATCCAAAATGTATATCTGCTTATAAATTAAATGAGGCAGCGTAACTATACTGGTCAGATTCTGGTTCAGATTACTCGGACATGATGTGGGCGAAATGGGATGTGAAAGTGGATTAGATCTCTGATCACCATACACACCATAGCGCTCTTTCTCCATTAAAAAGTCAATACCATGATATAGAGTGATCAATGACACAGCAAGTAACGCAACAATGGTTAGCTAAGTTGTGGGTTAGCAAACAGTCACTACAATTGCTGCTATGAAGCTAACATGAAGAGAGGATGAGACAGGTTCTAGAGCCAGCACACCAGCTCCAGACAGTGATACTCCCAACTCTCATGTTTCTATAGCTAACATCACAGCAACAGCATTTGAAGAACTAGAAATAAGATGAATGTCTGTGGGCATGTCATTTGACTGACACCAAGGGCATAGAATTTGGTAGAGACGGTAGGGACATGTCCCTACGAATGACATCTAACAGATGCTTTCAGTGCGTGGATAACAAAATTGAGATGGATTTTGGGACAACATACTTCTGTAATGCAACATAGAATTGTATTGTGCTAATTATAGTCTTTGTAAGCTACTGCAGGTCACATAAAATGAGGTGCCAAGTCTGACACATGTGCCCTACACAGTTTATCACAAAAAACATTTGAAATTATTGTCTTTCATGCCACTAGGATTCAAAGAAAAGTTTGGTATTATGGTATGGTAGTTATGGAAATAGTCTTTCTTGCGCATGCTTTCTTGTCGAGATTTAGATGAGAAGATTTGTAACACCCTAACATCTGTACAATAAACGCGAAGCGACCCGCAGCCAGTTAGCTTAGCTTAGCATAAAGACTGGAAACTTCCAGATATATTCACTGTACAGAAATGAGAGTGGTGTCAATCTGCCACTCTGTAATAAGATGAATGAGCATATTACTTAAAATGTCTGAGCTATTCCTCTAATCAGCAAGGTGCAGCACCCACAAATGATAAGATGACAATCATTAATGTGAAAACATACATATATATTCACATGCAACATAAAGTAATTTGACTATCACTCATTACAATTGATATAGACTGTATAGCCGTAAAAGTCATTAACAAAATGTCTACTGAGGTAATAAATCAAGTGAGAAGTAGGGTCATTTTGTCATAGTTTCTATATAGTATGACTTCGTTTTGCAACCAGTGGAGTTGCCCCCTGCTGACCATCAGAAAGAATGCAGCTTTAAGGCACTTCAGCATTAGCTTCACTTTTCAGACGCAGATACATCTTCTACTTTTATAGAGCCTGTGGTAATAAACTAAAGTAACAGTTCAGTGTTATTACCTGCAATGTTTGATCACTCTTTGTGTATCAGGATCCAAAGTTCTACCAGGCTATATTTTATTTTTATGATAGTGATACTGCAGTTTTAATCATTAACTATCTGTCCTTCTTTTTCCATACTACACTGGGTGCCAAACATTAAATGAGCGTAATTTATCATTTTTGAGAGCACTTGATGGAAAGCATTAGCAGAGTGTATATATATTGCATTGTGTCTAAAACAACAAATAATCTGTCTAAAAAAGTTTACAGAATAGCTCTGGGGACAATATAAAACCCTCTCCAAATCCTTTCAAACCCAGGACACATTTTGTTTTTGGTTTATTTTAGTTTTGGATATTAACGAAGAACACAAGGCGTATAGAGTAGACAGTGTCCAAGGTGTAAACAATAAAGTTGATGATCGCCATGAAGGTGACCACCACCAGTTTATCCCAGGCACAGAGGTGGCCACAGTTAACAGGTCTCTTACCCGTACGGAAACTATACAGTGGCCAGATCACAACAGCTGTCATATACATCACTGCTGCCAAAATGTTATAGACAATCACTAGCTTATCAAAGGAGAATGGAAAAAAAGAGGTCAGCTGTCCAAGGGTGAGCAGGATTATGAGGATGGCAAAGATGAAACACAAGGAGTACACGGCCACACACCACTGCAGTCCTGGGGAGTCCTTGTACTGGCCGTTCTCCAGGGATGTGAAGATGAGACAGGCGAGGAAGGTCTCCAGCATCTTCATTATGCCAGGCAACGTGGAGAGGAAGCCGCTGTTCTGTCCACTCGGACGAAGGCGGGTTAAGATCACTTCGCCTGTATACACCCCAAAACACACCCAGGACACCACAGAGGCACCGATTTGGCGGGGGCAGTTGTTGCAGCTGAAGAAGGTGGGGTAGATGATGGAGGCGGCAAGGCACATGAGGCTCGCCAGCATAGCAAAGGCAGCGGTGAAGTCCTCCCAGACGAAAGGTAATTTGGTATTGACAGTGGTGAACTCCAGGATGAGAATGAGGAAGGTGAAGAAGAAGCAGAAACACCAGGTGAACATGCACCAGGCCCAGTACGGAGATGAAACTTTTCCCACCGTTGCCACCAGGCTAAAAGACATACAAGTGAGAATGGCTGCCATTGTTCGCATGATCCCCACAGGCTGGGTGAGTGACCGCAAATCTACACCGATCATGGCTGGCCAGGATGAGTCTGTTTGAACAAAAAAAAAGGCGTTGTTTTGTTTTCTAGGTCAGTTGATTCTCAGTGCATCCTTCAGTGCAGTAAAGATCCTGTTAAAGAAATCCATTTAGGCAAGAGCCAGAGCAGGTGTGTTCTTTGAAACTGAAACTCAATGGATGGTCATGTATTTCCAAACAGAGCATATTGGGCGTATCTGTGCACTTTATAGCCCCTGTTTCACTCCACGGATTGGATACTAGTTGGGTGTTATCATGTCCACACACTGGACTCTGGTCCTCAGCATAAGCTGTGTTCAGGAACTAATCTGTAGCACAATGATGGCTTGAAGGTCACATCCTAAGGAAAATTGCAAAAAAAAAAGTGCCAAAAGAGTTTCAGTCTTTAAAAAAATCACCTGACACAAGCACTTATTCAACAATGAATGTGTGATTTTATTCCACTGTAATCCACATCATCTTTCTTTTCTTTCCTTCTTATTTGTCTCTTTCTTTATTTGTGTTTACATATCATCATAATATCCACAGCTGAGTCTCCATTTTGACATTGTTGAGAGCAGTAATGCCTGGACTGGTCAAAGGTTATGTAACTCCCAAGATTTCTCATGGTTGTTACTGATATCACCCTCTGGGAACTAAGCCCTTTTTGGTCCGTTTTCTCTATTTGGGCTTATAAACCACATGTGATGTAAATGGAACACATGTGTTTGGTATCTATGGATTCAGAAGACCCTGAGCTAACATAATCATGCATTTAATGTGCTTATAAAGGAAGTATGAGTGAAAAATGCATGATAAAATAGAGAATTTCATAAACTAAAATTAGATTTTTGTGATTTATTAATAAAAATCACACCTTATACATAATTACTGAACAGTTTCTGAACTAAAAACATATCCAACCCTTTGTGTTACATCCATATGCAGGTTTTCAATAAAATGAACTAGTACAATGAAATAATGCAGCCTTTTGTGAAAATGTCCAAGACGTTTTTCTCATGCATCCCCCTGATTAAAGCAAGGCTTCTCTAAGAAGAGAGGGGCTCCTGACATGCCCCACACTGGTCTTGATATAGGCTCTGCTTGCCTTACAGAGACATACTCTGTTCTTCCATTTCTCGCTGGCAGTGTTGAGTAAATGTCTGCACTGTAAAATCTTTTCAAAAAATCTAAATCTGATTATTTTTCTTATTATTATTTGGGATGGGTTAGGCCTATTTTAGGGGGCTGAAGCCACCCTAACATGGTCCATAAGCCTCCCCAAACACCATCTGAACCAAATAGGTTTATCTTGGTCTCTTCAGACCACAGGACTTCCAGTAATCCATGTCCTTAGCCTGCTTGTCTTCAGCAAACTGTTTGCGGGCTTTCTTGTGCATCATCTTTAGAAGACGCTTCCAACTGGGTATTTTGAATCCATAAAAGTTAAACTCTTATTTCTTGTTTTCACTGCTCGAGTCTGCTGCACTGCTGTGACACAGAGAGGTAAACAAAGCATTTTAGGAGACCTGCTGCTCAGGTGTGTCTTTGTGCTCACATACTGTGACTAAAAAAGCCACTTTTTAAGTGAATGATCATAATTTTTTCACCTGATGCTTTTAAAGTCTTTGTTGCAGCATCAAATTACAGTTACACTTACGCTATGTTGTTATAACACTTATAACAGAGTTATCTGACATTTTTGCTGGGCTAACTTGCTACAGTAATGTTAACATTAATTGACCAGTTAGCAGCTCTTTGAATCCTGGTCAATGAGAGAAGCTAGCTGTGGTACCAGTGCGAAATCTGATTAAAAAATGGACTGGACAAAATTATTGCTTTTTCATCTGCATGTATGTTGACTCAGCAGGGATGATATTACATGAGAAAGTTGATCTACAGGAGAAACATATGTGAAAGCAACACAGAATGACTGGAAGCTACACTGACATTAAGTTCTGTTGAGTTTTAGATTTTGAATTGTCACCTGCCACCTAAATTTGTGTTTCCCTTTGCATGAATAAAAACATTTCCATCAAAAATTGATGAAGGAAACTGATGAAGAAACTGGTGCAGAGAAATTCACCAGAATGCAGGAAATTAATGCTCAAAATGTTCTGGGGGAGGACCCTCAGAACCCTTACACCTAACAGATTTCAGAATTCACCATAGAGACTCTATTGGCATTGGTTTTTTAAAATAGCGTACAAGCAATAAGCAATAAGCAATAAGGATTTCTATAAAAAAGTGTTAAAAAAATAATATATATATATATATATATCCTGGTACAGTACAATACAGTTACTTTTGTTCAACAGAGGAGAAATGGAAGACCAGAGTATGTCTGTCACTTTTTGTTTGTTAACATCTTGGCTTCTTCACTGGTTGTTGACATAAGTGTAGATCTAATACAGTAACAAAGATTTTGCAAGCGCAAGTTACGCATACCCTAGGGGCTAAGCCCCCCTGTCTTTCAATCCTTGTGACGTTCCTGTTATTTGGGCCCCCCTAAAACAGCCCTAACGACGTCCATGCCACTCTCTATGTTTTACTTCCATCATTGAATGTGGCAACACAACGGAGGGGAATACATTACAGTGAGAGCATTTTTTAAACCTTTTAAAATAATTTTGCTCTACCTGAATATACTAAATTTACAGTGATAAGGAACAAAGAAAAGCAGCAAATCTTTTAATAGGCTCTGTAGCTCATGCACATCATTTTAACATGTGATTTTGCTGTGACTATTGACAGAACAGAATCTTTCCCTCTCTGTTTCTCTCTCTTTATCTCTCTCTCTGTCTCACTCTGTCTTAGTGCCCACTATAGAAAAATAGGAGTGGAGCTGAGATTGAGATTGAAACATATGGCTGCTGTGTGTTTCAGGGTATGCACACTTAGACACACCTTCTTTGTGTCCTTCACAAACATTCTTTGAGATGGACAGGTTGGGTCCCACTGTACCTGTTGAAACATTAAACAGATTATTCACTTAAGATTCACTCATTCAGTAATGATTGTAATTTGTTACAGAGGCGCTGAAACAACCCAATGAAAGCAACATCCATGGTGATGTAAGCATGCACAATAACCCCACACTTTTATAACCCTTTATTCATATTTCATATACTGAAGTCAACAAACAAACACAGTAAATAAAGAGCGGATGAAAATCTTGGAGAAAGAAAAAAGGGAAAGAGAAAATTGGGTTTACATCTCCTTACAGTTCAAAATTAGATACTGCCGCTGTTGTTTCATGTTCTCAGAGAATGCATCATTATGACACGTAAAAGTTACTCTCACTCAGATCTAAACACAATGAATCACAAAAACATCAGTAAAATAAAATATGTTTAACAAAAGTTGTACAAGGGATGCTTTACATTACATTATATTTTGACTCATGTTCAATCTTTGAGTTCAAGTGTACTTCAAAACTTGCCAACAGCAGAAATATGAGGTACATTTGCAACCTATGTTCTGCTGATAAAGAAGACCAGCTTAAAAGAATAAACAGTATCCACAATATAAGCAGCAAGGTTGAAAGCGGTCATGAAAGAGATAACCACATAATTATTCCATGAACATGTAACCACTTGCGAGCACATCTTTGGCCTGGGGTTGTTCTGGAAGCTGTACAATGGCCAGACGACCACAGCGGTGATGTACATCAACACTGCCAACACATTGCAGCCTGTCAGGATTTTGTCAAATGGTGCAGGGAAGAGAGACAGAAGGCGGCAGATGGTAAAAATGATGACAATGAGGGCAAAGATGAAGCAAATGGAGTAGACAGCAACACACCACTGGAGCCCTGGATACTTAGAGTAAAAACTGGAGTCCAAGCAGGTGAAGATGATGCAGGCCACAAAGGCCTCCAGAACCTTGAGGAGGCCTGGGACTGTGGACAGAAATCCACTAATCTCACCAGGTTTAGCCCGGGTCAGCCCAACCTCAAGTGCATACAGGATGAAGGCCAGACAGGAAGTAACAGTGGCACCAATCTGTTTGCCGCAGTTAGAACAAGTGAAGAAGACAGGATAGATGATGGATGCTGCCAGCACCTGTATGAGAGAAAGGTCAAAGGTAAGTGTGAAATGATTCCTACTTTAACATCCTCTCTAGCAGTTCATAGTACTTTTTTCTTTAATGTGGCCTAATGTCAAAATCAGAAAAATATTATGATCTGTATGGGGAGTTGTGACAACAACAGCTGTTGCCTTATATAAAAAAACAAGTCAAACATTCCTAATTAATGCTCCAGTATGGGTCTGTTTAACCTTATATATTTGAGGTGCTGTTGAATACTTTATATTGGAAAACCAGCTTTTGTTAGTGTGTTTTTTCATCTAATTGTAGGCGTGCTAAAAGCAGAAAGGAATAAATGTACTATTCTCAATGACAGTAATGTTCAGTAACATAACAATATATAAATATAATGATATATTAACGGTATAAATCACACCCACCATAAGAGTACCCAACATGGCAAAAGCGGTAGTGAAGTCATCCCAGGAAATGGGCAACTTAGTGTTGAGACTGGTGAATTCCAGAAAGACTATGAGGAAGGTGACGCAGAAGCAGAAGCACCATGTGAACATGCACCACGTCCAGAAGGAATTAGTACTGTGGCCCACTGATGCCACCAGGCTGAAGGAGATACAGGTGAAAATCACCTCCAGTAGACGCACAATGCCCACGGGCACCGTCAGTGTCCTGAAGTCCAGCGTAACCATGGTGATTGTAATCCTGTGGTCAGTTTACTGTGGTTCCGGATAGATATTATAGATAGATAATCTCTCACCTCTTCACCAGCTTGTCTCCGCTATGCTTGTTGATTTAATTTTTCCTTTTAAAGTTGTGCTTTGTTCAATATCTCTCTAAAAGACATCACTCCTGGCCTCTCATGCTGTTAGTGCTGCCTGAATGTCTATGACAAACACAGAAAGTGACTGTGGAACCTCTGGCCGCTCCCTTGTTGCCGCCCTTCAGACCGTCTTCCTCAAATGGCCAGTTTTTAATGCGGAAGTGTGTGAAAGAGTTATCTGGCGTGGTTGTGTACAGAGGCAGCTGTCTGTTGTTCACTTCCATTTGCTTATCAGTTGTGTGCATTGGGCTCGGTCAGTAAAATAATTCTGATTATTACAACAGTCATGTAGAGCAGGAACCGCACCTTATGACACAGAGCTTAGACTTCGCACTTCACACTATTGTCCATCCATTATGTTTGCTAACTTAGTGGCAGGCCCGCCCATCGACAGATCTGTAAATGTGAATGCTTCAGAAGATTTGGGCCTTAGTACTGCAGTAGGAAATGTTAAAAGAAAATATTTGTCTTTCTCTGGATAAAAAATGTAGGTCTGAGATACTGCAAAAGAAACAAGGATATGGACATAGACATGGATTAATCTACTGAGGACCATAAATTACTGTTCCAATTTAAAACCAGTCTGCTGCCAACTGTTACAGACTAACAGCTGCTAACACACACACAAGCACCTTAACAACTTCATCTGAAAGTCATCTGAAAATTTTCTCTTGTCAAACTTTGAATTAGTTATTTAACTTCCAAATGTGAAATAAATCCATTAAGGGTGTTCTGAATCAGGCTCTTTTCTCAGACAGAATACTTGGCTTGTGTTGTATCAAGGTATACAATGACACATAGATTAAACAAGTAACTTTCATGCCAGCCATTAAAATGGGAGAGGGGATTTAATATTTTTATATGACGATCATCTCAGATGTGACAGAATTTCTTTAGATAGGGGCCGGGTTCAATGGTTAACCAATAAGGTAGCCTTCCTCATCTACCCACCCTCACACTGAGGACACATCCATATGCAAACCTACCTTCAAAACCACTTCTCCAATGCCACAATCATAACTACCAGAGATTTTTTTGTTGAGTGTCAGCAGAGTACTCAGAGTTTCTGTATATCATCTTGCACAGTACAAATCACATGTTGCTTTTATGACTAAATGACTGTGAACAAACACAGCTTATACAGCTTGCCTATAGTTGTTAATGTCTGTTAAAATGAGAAGAATAACAAACACTATATTTAAGATAATTCACAGACGTTAGTAGCATTCATCCCCTGGGAACCTTACCTGTTAAACTTTTCCTCTGATTGTGGCCACATTTTCTAAACCTCAACACTTACTTCCCAGCTGATCTTTAGAAGGCATAGGACAGATTTATGCATATACAGGGATTATCACTGGTCGTACAAGGTCACAACATTCCCACAATGAAGACACTGTCGCCAAATCATTGGGCAAGGCTAAATTCAGAGCTTCTGTCCTAGCTGAGTTTAGTCGTAATTCACAGCTATAGAAGCACAATCATGGGACAAACAACAAGGTCAAAGGGTCCCCAAAATCATTTAGGATTTTGAGAAGCACCCTTGTAACATGCTCTTACAGAACTCGGTGTTGAAAGAGTCTATGATTGCTTTGTCTCATTTGTCAAATTCATTATTTAGTTTTGGTCCCTAAATTTCGCAGCCATAAAGAATAATTTTTTTGCCAGTTTTTAAGTGGAATATAGATTTTAATGTTTCTTTTAATTGCATAGAAAGCTCTCTCTCTCTCTCTCTCTCTCTCTCTCTCTCACACACACACACAAATAGAAACACTCCCATTATGTTAACTCTCATCCATGTTTCTTCTTTTTGGATCATGTAATCTTCTAATACAGCATGCAGTGGACTTTCACTGAGACATCTCAATGTTTCTCTAAAAGCAGAACTGGGGTTGTTCAAGGCCAGAGTCATCAAATAGATGTGAATTAAGGGGTAAAGACTCCAGGATCACTTTGGGTTTGGCAGCTTCTGGCAGTCTGTGTATGGCACAATTTTCTCTGCTCTGTGGCTCCCCCTGTGGGTCACAGTATAAAACCTCAGCAGTGAGAAGGTTGGTATTTGCTGACATGTGTGAACCTTAAAAGGCTGTGCAAATATCTGACTCCAGAAGTCACAATTGGGAAATCATAGTCAACATAATTTAAACAGAAAAACTATTTATTCGGATTTGTCAGTTTTTTTAATAGAAAAAAAAAATGCTGACACTGTGGTTGACATGTTATTTTACATTAACCTTTAACACCATCCAGTATCTTTGCAGAACTGAGGCCAACAAGATGTGATTTGTATATTAACAATTAAAGCCTTCAAGACTGACAAAAACATGTTTAACCAACACTAGTATGGCAGGTACACTGTGAAAAGAAACTGAAATGAAAGATTGAAGAAACAGACATAGAAATAACAAGGTGGAGAGCGGCAGAGCGGTCATCAGGGTATGAGGAGGACAGAGGAGAGGAGGCGATGATGCAGTTAAAAGATTATTTGTCCAGTTTCCAAAAGAAAGTCTGTCTGTCCAAGTGAAAGATTTCCAGGTGGAGGAGTGTTGTGTTTTATGAATTTATGTTGCTGTTTTCTTAAATTCTCAAGAGTTGAAATAAAGTAGAAAATAAAGTAGAAAAACATCTGCCTCAAATATGTCATTAACCAGGCAAGTACATAAGGCATTCACAAAAAGAAAAGTGCCTTTAAATGATCCAGGAGAAAATGATTAAGAATGGCATGTCTACATGTCTGAATTCTTGGATGCAGGTGTGTTCTGGTATTCTCCCTGCAGAAGTCTCCTTCAACTGACCCCACTTTATGCTCTCCCTGTGTAAGGGGGAATAAAAACTACTGTCAAACATTATGATGTTTCAACTGTGCTGGCCTCTAGTGGCCGTACAAAAAAAATAGACAATCATTTTCTCTGGATTTGAAAGCAGAACAGCACCGATCCCATGTCTGTCTGTAATTATCCGCGTGGCTGTAGCGCAGTGCATTCCAGACGTGATGGGTAATGTTCTTGTGATAGTCCTGTGACCTTTCAGTTTCCTCAGCCCTGTCCTGACAGGGCTTCATGTATCAAAGTCATGTGTTTGGAGGTGGATCATTCACGCTCACTTAATGTGTGGGAGGGAATATCTTGATAAACATAGAGACACTGACAAATATTTAGTATTGCTCAAGAGTATGGTTTCCTTAAAACACATCAGAGAGCAATGAGAGGCAGTGTCTTATTCAAGAACTCCTAAATGAGAAATACTAAGCTCAAGAGAAGTGCTGCTTGGGTAGTGAATAACCATTTAAATATTGTGCTCATCTGCATTCTTTAATTAATAAATTGTTATTTGTCAAAATATTTGTTATTTTTTTCCACTACTTCTGTTTGAGGCCATTTTCCTTTACATGATTCTACTGTTTTGCAACACCATGAATGTGCTAGGTCAAGTGATTCAATAAGCTATATAAGGGAAACCAGCTGATTTCAGCTAACTGATTAATAAAACATTTATTAGTCCCCAGCACATTACAACAGCCTGATATGCCACCTAAAATAAGTGCTGGTGTTATTCTACTATGTTGGCTAGTGCTCGTGTTATTCTACAACTATTCAAACATGCATGTGACAGTCTGAGACACTGCTAATAAGCCATGCAACTTGCATGGTTAAGCTGTCGTCATACATGTTGGTTCATTACTATGTTAGGAATTTATCCACAGTATCTATTAAAAAAACCATGACAGGCAGATCAATCTTTTACAGGACTGTAACAGCTAAAAAAAGTGTTCTACACTTCACGTGCTTCTCATGAGTCAGACTGAGTGTAGGTTAAGGCACAGGAAACCATAGGGGTAGGGTGACAGGAAAAAGATGTTGATGGTAGCAGCATGGTTAACATTCTTTGCCGTGAAAAAAACCCATCTGTTCATCAAAAAAAAAAAAAAAAAAAAAATTCTCTTAAATGGTCTGAGTTGCAGGGTTTAGTTATACTTCATAGGACTTCATGCATGTGTTAAATGTGATTTGACTGAAACCGAGACTGATCAATGACATGAGGCATTGTATAGGTCAACAAGAACACTTTGTTCTGAGCAAACACACATCCCTCTCCTTCTCTTTTTGTTCAGTTCTGTATTCATTATTACCTCTCTGGTCATACTGGCCAACATTGAACAAACATTGGTATACTGTTATGTTAACACCCACCCAGTCACATGGAATAATCGTAGGAAGATGGGGGAGGGGCATCATTAAGTGGACTGCATTCTGGGCTTGTCTCTTTTACATAGTGCTACAGGAAGTGCAGACAAACCCTCCTCTATTAGATTTACAATTTTCTGTGCAGTTGTTTATTAATCTGTCCTCACTGTCTTTCTTTCATCTGTATTCTTTTGGTTTTACGGTTTCTTCCTGCCTCATTCAGGACCAGACGGCTCTAGAGAAAGGGTGCTTAACTCTCTTTTTTTTTATGGAAAGTCACAGGTAGGTAAATCATATTTTACACATTTATACTTATTTCTGTAGCCATTCTTCTAAAGTTATCAGTATGTCTGTTTATCCAAGCCTTATCCAGCTGCATTGTCCGAACAAAAGAAGGCGAGGCTCAAGTGGTGAATTAAACTGCTTCATCAGTGTATGTGGCTCATATTACTCTTCTTGATTTATGATGGATTTATGATGCGACACAGGAAGGCTCGCAAAGACTGACAAGCCCTGTTCACAGTGACTAACAGGCTGACCAGCATGCACTTTGTAATATATTATCAATATACTGCACTAATCTACTGATTTAGTGCATGACAAAACTAAGTATGACCCAGCTGAAAATGGCTGTTAAGGAGCTGTACAGTTACAGGGCAACATTATCAGAGCAAAGCTTCTTTAAACATAACTGTTTTGCGTCGTGCCTCTCCCACTAGGCAAATGAAAATTGCTGCTGTTCACTGCATCTGTGTTGGACCAAGAGCTACTGTAGTAATACTATAGTTTGGCATTTCTTTAAATGTAAACTTGGTGGAAAGTTGGTACATTTGCTTAGTACTAGTAGCTCTTAACAGTAGTTAAGTACAATTTTGTTTTCCAGGTTTCTGCCTGTTAAAAAGGATTTTTTTTTCTTGCCACTGTCACCAAGTGTGGAAATTGTTGGGTCTGTAAATATAGAGTGCGGCCTATACCTACTCTATATGAAAAGTGCCCTGAGATAACTTCTATAATGATTTGGTGCTATATAAATAAAACAGAATTAAATTGAAATTTTGAGGTATTTGTAATTCACTATTATAGTATTTATTATATACTATTTCCATTTTATGTCACAATGTGACAGTGTAAAAGGGGTCGATCGTAGTGATGAACCTACAGATAAATATTACCTGAATCGGCTTTACAGAGCTTTATAGTAAGTTGAGATATGTGTTTAGCTGTCTCTCTCTTCTCTCATAGCATATTTTGTGGCTGCAGCAGGCGACTGTTTTCTGCGCGAAAGCTCTAAAACCCACTGTACACCTGCTCAGCACCAAAAACCAGACTAACCACCAGTTAGCAACTAGTTAGGGAACCTCGTGGAGCATTTTTGCTGCTGAAGAGCCAGATATTTACCTCAGCAGTTAGTAGAGACCAAAACAGGGCTAAAAGAGAGTGAATGTTGAACTTACGTTCATCAGGTGACCACAAACATGACTCCATATGAATGAAATGCTGCTCTGTAATTGCTGATTGTGTAAATAAGTGTTTTTTAACAAGTTTGCCATATCAACAACTGATAGCATATCAGTGTTGTCATTACAGTTTGTTTCAGCTGCCCCCAGGTGATCAACCAAGTCAGTTATTGCAAGTTTAAGGAAAGGATCTGAATAGTTCCTGCACCATTGGTTTTCTCAGATCATTATCCTGACTGAGCTAGCAAAAATTAGTTTTGGCATGGTGGCACTCAAAGAAAACCTAGCATTTCAAACATGTTGCTGTGCTAGAAAAAACAAATGTTATTGTGTCAACATTAATTTGCCTACAGCTGACATGAATGCATTAGAGTTGTGAGGACTGCAAAGAGGATGTGGAACATGTTGTTAGAGAGTAAAAAACATCAGTTGTTTCTACCAGAGAAGTCAAACTATACAACTGTACACTTTCTCCTGCTGCTGTTTACATGATATCAATAAATCTGAGCTGAGTGCAATTTCTTAAAACATTTTGTAGATGAAAATGCTCATGAGGGGCCTACATCCACATTTGATAAAATGTTTTTTTTTACTAAATTTCTTAGATAACCAAACCATGCATCAATCAATCAATCAATCAATCAATCTATCTATCTATCTATCTATCTATCTATCTATCTGTATAAACTATACTTTCTTTCTTTCTTTAATTATCTTAAAAGCCAGTTGATCAACTTAAAAATTTATATACATTTCTCATATTCAGTAAAGCTCTCTGAGAATGGAAAAAGGATACCCACCACAGGAATCAGCTCCACCATACCCTGGGCCACCTATAAACTATGGTGGTGCGGTGCCTCAGCCAGGGATGTACCCTCAGCCAGGGATGTACCCTCAGCCAGAGGTGTACCCTCAGCCAGGTTTCTCTGCAGCTGCACCTCCACCTGCTGCATACCAAGGAGGTCTGTGTTTGGTCACTACCTGCGTTAAAATATAATGCTGTTACTTTAGTCCAGTCATGTTAAGGGATTTCTGGAAATATCTGTCCTAAACATCCTTTCCTGCTTTTGTAAACTGTGTGTTTCATCTGCCAGGTGCTCCTTTTGCTCCGGCCATGGCTGCACCTGCCACAACAGGTAAGGTGATGTACCTGACCCAAGACAAAGCTACCCCACCTAAAACACTAGATGATGCACTCATCGTTGTATCATTTCTCAGAACATGTGCATGCACACACATACTGTACACACATCTTGGTGGCAAATATGTTTCCGTTCCAGTTTGTGAAACGAGAAGATCTGCCTCTGTAAAGTGCCACAAAATCAGTGGGTGAAGTCTTCGGTCTCCAACAAAAGTGATCTGAATAGCCCATTTGTGGTCTCTGTGCATAACAAAAAGCTATTGTTCATGGTTTGTTGTTGGTGGTGTACAGTCACATTTTGAGTATTGCTTGCTGTAGTAGACGAAGGATCCCTATCAAAGGTATGTTACTTCTTCACGTGAAGTTCACATGTGAAAAGTGTACATCACACTAAGACTGCTCATATGAACTGTGGGATTCTCACATGAAGGATGTGTTGCAATTCTCACATTTACATTGATATCAATTATGAGGTTTTTTTGAGTTACTGTTTGTCAGTGACAGTTTCAAAACAAACAAAATGAGAACAATCTGAGTTGTCCTTTACTATAAAACCCCTTTTTCTCCCCCAGATGGCTTAATGACTTAAATTACTGACCGGGATCATAGAAAGACATCTCCTTATCAAATTGTTGTGCTATTGGCAGCCTCTGCTGTTCTTTTTGAGTCATTGCAGTCTGTACTTTTTATTCTTAAATCTTGACAGCCCCAAGTGGAAAGTCCTACCGTAACAACAGAAATGTTTCACTAGCTGGCCACCACAGTTACACATATTATTAGATTGTGTAATTGTGTCTGCATGTATCCACCTGAGGTCAGCATTTATCCTTATCATGGAATCTGATGTTATGATGCAGAATTATGTGGCTATGACTGCCAGACTGATCATTTGATGTTCTTTTACAATATGTCTAATTTAGAGGTATTGGTTACAGGTAAATACTGACAAAGATTAAAAAAGTGCATAACTTCCAGTTATGAGTGACAAATAGGACACATCACTCATTTTAAGCATGCTCAAGTGAAAATGGAGACAAAAGAATATGAAGACCAATATGTGCTGTGCATTTCTCATCCTCAGTGACTCACATGATAGTAGCACCTGCACTACATGACGTCCCAGGACAAACTGTGTGTCCCCACTGCCAGCAGACAGTGATCACCAAGACAGACCACACAGCAGGCTTGATGACCTGGGCCATCTGTGGTGGCCTCGCCCTCTTTGGGTAAAACAACTTTTTGGGAAGAAACTTCTAGTAGTTTTTATCTTAAAATAAAGAGAAACATTTGAAACTATAAATTTCACAATAGGAAGGAGTAAAGCAAATCCTTTTTCACAAAGTGTAGGAACAAATCTGGGAAGTTATAACTCACTTTGTTTCCTCCTACAGGTGTTTTCTTTGCTGCTGTATCCCGTTCTGCATTGATTCCTGTAAAGATGTAGAGCATCACTGTCCATCCTGCCACAGAGTTATCTACATATATAAGCGAATGTGAAACTATCTGGACTGTGAATGGGGGAGAAGAACATAATGCTTATCTGTAGCTTTTTAACAGCCTTACTTGCTCTGCAACCAAGCAATCTTTTTATGTAATGCAATCTTTTGATATTGTTTATAATAATGCAAAATGCCTTTATTCCAGAGAAGCATCATGCTGTGAGGCATTATATTCAGCAGTCATGGAACATTTGTTATTCATTAAACAAGGGATATAAACTAACAAATATGCTTACTGTAGTTATGAGCGGTTTTCTTGTTAAAAACAAAGGATCTCACCAGTCACTTGTAGGGATTACACCTCGTACAACAACAACAGTCTGATCATGTTAGGGCCAAAAAAAGCACTTTTTGTGGATGTAATTTTGACGGGCACAATTGCCCCGAAGGAATGCATTGCAGCCTCCGCAGGAGGTTCGCGACTGTTGGCTGAAGCCATCTACTGTACGGATTCCAAAAACCTTTTGTACCTACTAGTCATTTTGACACCAAAATATGTGAAATAGTGAAATTATCCTTTCAAGGGATATTTCATCACTCGAAAAATGGTATTTTTCATAAAATTGTGCTGTCTATGCAGTAGAAAGACGTACATTTTTTTTTAACAGCCGGTCAGAGCTACTAACGTTTGGCTAAACTCTGATAGCACCATTGGGTAGAAAACTGGACTGTTGTGTGTGCTAAGCCTCATAAAAATGTGGATTGTACAGTATGTTTTCACACGTTGCTGTGCTAGTAACACTGTTATCATTACTCACATGTCAGTTTTGCCCCATTGGCTTTGACTGTTTTTGCTGCTTTTGATCCTGAAGTGTGCCCCAAGGTTTTTTTCCTCCATATCTACAAGAACATTGTCTTCTGCCAGTAGTTGTTGTAGGCAGTTGATTTTAGACAGGATGTTTTGATTTTGGAGCGGTAAGGAACCGCCCCTCTCTCGATCCAACTGTCTATGGAGGCAGGCATAAAAAAAAGTGAAAGTAAAATCTGTAGGCAAATAAACAGAGAGCTCTAGGTGCCGGCTACATGGAGGGAAGTTAACTGTTGTTCATTTGCATATACTAGCCACACTGTAATGATACAAAGCCAGTTAAAAATGGGCAAAGTTTTCTCGAACAAACAGCACAACGCAGTGGATTACCCGCAAAAGCCCGTAACTTGCTCAAAATCCATGGTCTATCTCTCAAAAGCAAATCTTAGTGTTATTGAACATGTCAGTGCCACCAGAATGACAAGTCCTTGTTTCATTTTTTACGAATAAGACAAGTCAAAATGTTTAGTGATGTTACTAATATAACAGTGTACTCTGTAAATGTACAAGGCTGCACTTTTTCACTATGACATATCAATTTCAAAGTATAAAGTTGTACATTGCAAGAGAATGGACAGGATTCACAGTTACGTTTTTACTATTTTTACTGTAATTTGTTGACAGACCATGTCATTGTGATGCAGAAAAGAAAAAGAAAGGACTGTTTTACAGCACTGCATAGCACAACGGAAGAAATTACAAAATTAGAAATGTAAGCATGTGACACATGCCTTAGGCTGATGTTCCTGTCTGTCAGGTCATAGATTCTTATCCACATCACAACGGATATCAATTACAGTAAGGAGACATTTACAAAAAAAAGTCTAATAGACATGTGTAGAATAATAATAATGATTGCATATACAGACGATCTTCATATATATTATGTATGTATGTATATATATATATACATACATACATAATATGAGCATGAAACAAGCAATTGTTAATGTAGGAAACAGCAGACAGTACATAATCATTTGCATCAGTGTGTCAAAGCATTTGCAATTTGTTCAAAACAAAGAGATGCTTTAATGATGTGCACAAGTGACGAGATGATGTGAAGGTTGAACAAGTAGTTTTGAGAATTTCAATTCTTATGTACCAAAGCGACTGAGAAAAACGGCAAAACATTTTTACCTCTCAACAGGACATTGTTTTAATAGCTTAAACCATTTAGCTTTTTTCTAAAACCCTTATAGGAATTTTTACATTTATGGTTCTGACCATGGAGATGTTTTTGTTGCTGGTGGTAAACCACATTGTAAACAAAGAAGTGGGTTTCTTTTAAAGGGATAGTAAGTGATTTTGCAGAAATTATTTGAACTCTATTGACAAACAAATACACCCCTCCATTCAGTGCTCCCTCAGAAGCCCCCCCCCAAATTTGTGGATGCGCATTGCCAAGGTAACCAGCACTACTAGTATCTTTGCTGAAATATAAAAATACAGTGACTGATGAGAGGATGATAAGTTTGTTTCAGATGAAAAGTGGACAAGGAACGTAACATCTCCGGTAGTATTAGGCTACTTAGTAATGCATTTCATATTTTGAATTGTGGGAGGAAAAACCCTCAGAACGGGCTACAGGACTAATGGGCCCTCACTCTCACACTTCATATTCTTCAATGTAAATTATAGCTCAGTTTATGTGAATTGTGGTCCTTTGATGCGAATAGTATTCTTCTCAATGACCAATAAAGTTCAAAGCCCAAGTTTAGTGATAATTTCAAACAAATGCAAATATAAATACCTCATTCCTCAAACTCTATAATACAATGATTGACCTATCCTGTCTCCCTCCTCCTCTTGTGGGTCTTATTGTAGGACCCACCCTTTCCACCTTCACATCCACACATAATCAGTATTAAAACAATAGTGTAATTAGCCTACAATACGTCTAAAGAAATAAAGACTGAAATGCAGCATTGACCAATAAAACATAATTTTGGTATTAACAAAGTATTAATGCATAAACCAATCACACAGTTGGTTAACATCAACACAGGCATGCCAAGTTTGTGTGCTGTGTCACATGATGACCTTCTCAGCCTTCAGAGCTGCAGCAGCTTCCCGTTTATGAATGTAGTTACTTTTATCAGGAGTGGGTATTAGCAACCTTATCAGGCCTGACTGCAAAAATGTGAAGGACACAGACTGAGAGCAACAAGGCTGAGCAAAAAGACTGAACCCTAAACAGTGGCTAATACTCAAATCTCTGAGGTATCTCCAGCATTGAAACACCTCAAATGTTAACAGCGTTGCCTGGTCATATAACTTGTTTCACAATGTGTACTCTTCAGACCTTTCCCTCTTTGGCTGTTTCTCAGCCATCTCTCCTTCTGGACAAGCCTAGAGTCCAGCATGTTCAAATGTACCAGTAAATACAACTTTCTCTTTGCCCCTGCTCCGGGTACGAGCTGGTTATGAGCGCTACCCCCATATGCTGCTGATTGGCTTAATCAATGTTGTGGGGATCGCACCTCTTTCTTTGTGTTCGATTTACAGACCCTGGGCTATGGCAGAAAAGTGGACACATAAAAATGGAGAGCTAAAAAACCGTGCCAAAAAAAGGTGTAGTGGTTACTACCACATGGTTGGCTATAACCTCAAACTGATAAAAGAAAGTGAAAGCAGGCAGATAACCTACAAAACATGTTTTGTGTTTTATTTGGATACTTTCAAAATCTGGTTGTTCTATCATTGAACATGTCAGTGCCACCAGAATGACAAGTCCTTATGCCACTGTTTACGAATAAGACAGTCAAAATGTTTAGTGATGTTATCAATATAATATATAATATAATATAGTGTACTCTGTAAGTGTTGTCTGATGTAAACTATGGCTAATGTTTTGATGACAATGATTGAAAATGCACAAGGCTGCGCTTTTTCATCAATTTCAACAGTATAAAGTCGACCATGTCATTGTGATGCAGAAAAGAAAAAGAAAGGACTGTTTTACAGCACTGCGTAGCACAACGGAAGAAATTACAAAATTAGAAATGTAAGCATGTGTGACACTCCTTAGGCTGATGTTCCTGACTCTTATCCACATCACAATGGATATCTTCATCAATTACAGTAAGGAGACATACATATTTATGTGATGACATAACACTGAAATTTCATTTAATTTATTTTGATTTGGGGCTCTTGAAGTCATTCACATTGACCAGGGCAGGAACCTTGTCCCATGTGTTTGCAGCTATGTGTGAAAAACTGGGCTTCCACAAGACAATGTATCACACTCCTCCCCCCTCAGAGCGAAGAACTGGTTGGAAGATTAAACCACATTAGCAGAGCAGTTGGCCATAGTGATGGCTTGTGCTAGTGGCGTACCTGTCTGCTGCCCAGGACTCCACTTCCTGCTCCCCTGCCCTTTTCATGTTAGACAAGAAGATCTTGATTTAGCTGAGATGATGGCTGACAACCCTCCCAACACATCTGTGTCCCAACTACGGACTACAAGGACAAGACAGAAGAGAAATTCCCTGCACTTGACCTGAGTGTCTCACCCTGCCCCTCATGAAATGGACCTTTCCACTCCTCGGAGGAAACCCCATACTAGGTGACGTGTTATGGTACTTACACATTAGTGATACCAGCTTATAAAAAAACAGTTTGGCAGGTCTGGGGCACCTCTTGTGCAACAGCATGGCCCTATTGATAAATATAAATTAATAGTTCCATTGTGTTCTACCTGTTTTATGTAAGTGCTGATTGACATAAAAACATTTGCAGCCAACAACTCTTACGCTGTCAAGAGGCTAGCTCACTGATGCCTAGTGTCTGCCGAAGAGACAGACATTTCTTGAGATGAAACTGCTTTATTCTGTGTTTTCAATGTTTTAATGACTTGTGATGGTAATTCAAGTTTTCAAATAAATAGCTTAGGCAAAGACTTGTCTTTCTGTGAATTCTATTCAAGTCTTCTGCAGAAAGAACTCACTGGGACACACACGCATCAGAGTATCATCCAGGTAAGCTGCAGTTATCTTACCACTTTACTATCTTTTATCTTTATCTTACCACTGGAAAATGTTCTCTTTAAGAGGTCCTCTGGAGGACACTCAATCTAAATCTATCGTAAAGACAATTATGCCCTAGTACAGCCAGGTACATGTTGTAAAACATTGAAAGACACGACCCCCTGGACACATCGTAAAGCATCACACACATTTACCTCCCATTGACCCTGTATCCGATAAACCAGAGGCCCTCAGTGAGTAACATTAATTACATGACTGTGTTTGGAGATGGTACCTAGATGGTACTGAAATTCCCATTACAGATCGGATCTGTTTGTTTTGGAGAGGAGACGACCTTGGTTGTCATTCGGCTCCAGGTTGAAACCTCCTGAACAGTCAAAATCGAAGGAATCCTACGCTAAAAACAAACTGAGAACCTAAACTGAGTGAAC